GAAGCCCAGCAGGTCGAAGCTGCGGTGGCCGGGAGCGGCCACTGCACTCCAGTCTGGGCGACGGAGTGAGACTCCAACTCCATAAAATAAAAAATAAAAAAATAAAGGTTTATTTTTAGAGACAGGGTCTCCCTCTGTGGCCCAGGCTGGAGTGCAGTGGTGTGATCATGTCTCACCACAGCCTCGAACTCCTGGACTCAATTGATCCTCATGCCTCAGCCTCCCAAGTAGCTGGGGCTACAGGTGCACACCCCCACACCTGGTTACTTAAAAAAAAAATTTTTTTTTTTTGTAGAGATGAGTCTCACTGTGTTGCCTTGGTTGGTCTCAAACTCCTGGGCTCAAGCAATCCTCCCGCCTCAGCTTCCCAAGTAGCTGGGACTACAGGTGTACACCACCACACTTGGTTACTTGTTAAATTTTTTCATAAAGATGAGATCTCACTATGTTGCCCCGGTTGGTCTTGAATTCCTAGGCTCATGCGATCCTCCCACCTCAGCCTCCCACCTCTTCCTTCCCGATAACCACCATGTCACTTCCACGCAGCCCCTTGTCCCCCATGCCCTCCCACTCACCTTGACTCGTGGGGGGTAGATGACCATCCTTTGCCTGGTTCTGGTTTCTGAAGGTCAAGGTGATATTCTCATAGTCGGGGTCACTTGCACCTGTGTGTGGGTCAGCAGGAGGGGTTGTGGAGACCCGCCCAGAGCTCTGGGGGAGATCAGAGAGCTTGGTTCACCCAGCCTCTGCACACAACACATTTCTGGGGGTAAAAATAAGGAGTGAGGAGCTGAGATCTGCCTCTTGGTTAAGCAGCAAGAGTGGGTGTCTGTGAGGGTTTGGGTGACACCCAAACATGCACATCTTGGAGAGGGGGGAGCCCCCAGCCCCACCTTCAGCTCCTTACCTCTCCCCTCCCAACTTCTCCTTTTTTTATATTTTCATTTTTTTAGAGACAGGGTCTCACTCTGTTGCCCAGGCTGGAGAGCAGTGGCATGATCCTAGCTCACTGCAGCCTCCAACTCACAGGCTCAAGTGATCCTCCTGCCGCAGCCTCCTGAGTAGCCAGGACTTCAGGTGCCACCATGCACAGCTCATTTTTAAAAAGTTTTTTGTAGAGATGAGGTCTTGCGGTGTTGCCCAGGCTGATCTCAAACGCCCGTCCTCAAGGGATCCTCCCACCTCGGCCTCCCAAAATGCTGAGGTTACAGGCGTGAACCACCGTGCCCGGTCCCAACCCTTCCTTCTTGACCTCTTCCTCCTGTCTCAAGCTTCCTAACCTTCCTTCTGGGCTGCAGGTCCCCGCTTCTTGTCTCTGAAGCCCGTTGCGTGCATCTTGATCTTTTGGTGCCTGGAGGTTTCCTGAGCCTCCATGGTCTCCCCAGCCCGCTAATGTGTCCACACACATCCCCACCCACCGGAAGGTGTCGAGGCAGATGAGGAAACCTAGGGGTGGGGTGGGGCCAGGAAAGAGAGGACAGCCTCCTCTTTTCAGGGATCCATGACCCTCCCATCCTGGGGCACCCTCACCGCCCCCAGATCAAGAGGGTCTTAGGAGACCAGAATTCTAAGGGAGGTCCCAGAAAGGAAGCTGCTAGACCCAGAGCCAGAATAGAAGGGTCAGAAACTTTATAGGAAGCCGTGTGTGCGTGTGTGCGTGTGTGTGTCCACCCGTATGTACCACACCCTCCTGCCTCTTGCCTGTCACAAGAGAGTTGTGGCCAGGCGCAGTGGCTCATGCCTGTAATACCAGCACTTTGGGAGACAGAGGTTGGAGGGTCGCTTGAAACAAGGAGTTCAAGATCAGCCTGGGCAACATCGTGAGACCTCATCTCTACAAAATATTTTTAAAAATCAGCCGGGTGTGGTGGCACACACCTGTAGTCCTCTGGAGGGTGAGATGAGAGGACCGCCTGAGCCCAGGAGGTGGAGGCAGTGGTGAGCCGTGATCATGCCACTGCATTCCGGCCTGGGTGACAGAGTGAGACCCTGACTCAAAAAAAAAAAAAAAAAAGGCCAGGCGCGGTGACTCAAGCCTGTAATCCCAGCACTTTGGGAGGCCGAGGCGAGAGGACTGCCTGAGTCCAGGGGTTCAAGAGCAGCCTGGGCAACTTGGTGAGACTTCGACTCGACAATAAATCAAAAAATTGGCCAAGCGTGGTGGCGTGTGTCTCTAGTTCCAGCTACTTGGGAGGCTGAGGCGGAAGGATTGCCTGAGCCCAGCAGGTCGAGGCTGAGGTGGCCGCGAGCGTGCCACTACTGTCCTCCAGCCTGGGTGACAGAAGCAGTCTCCGACTCAAAAAAAAAAAAGTAAAGAGAGGGAAGCCTGACCTCTGAGAGGGCTTGGAGGCAGGACTCCTGGTCCCCCCCACACCTTCCTCACCCCAACCCCAGTCCCAGTCCTCAGCTCCACCCCAGGAAATGCCGCTTCTCCAAGGCCCCGTGGAGGAAAGACCCGGATGTGAGGCAACGATCGGGGTTAACCACTGCGATGCCCCACCCGCAGCTGGGACTGAGGACAGACCCACCTGTGCCCCTCTGCTTTGGGGGAACCCGGAGGGACAGTCTCCTCTCCAACCGGGTTGCTCCTCACCCACCCAGACTCAGGCACCGACTAACACACGTACACACACACGCCTCCAAATACCCTGTGAGTTACAGGACCTCTTTTGAATAAAATCACACACTCATTTGCGTCCTTGCATTGTACCACTGAGAGAAATATGCATATTCATGAATGCACATGACTGCACTCTATCTGGAAGGTGTCTTTTTAATTAATTAATTTATTTATTTATTTATTTCTAGAGATGAGGTCTCACTATGTGGTCTAGGCTGGTCTCACACTTATATTCTCAAGTGATCCTCCAGTCTCTGTCTCCCAAAGCGCTGGGATTATAGGCAAGAGTCACCACAGGTGGCCTAGAAGTTGTTTTTGTTTTTTAATACAGAGGCAGGGTCTCACTCTGTTTACCCAGGTTGATCTCAAACTTCTGGTTTCAAGGGATCCTCTGGCCTCAGCCTCCCAAAGTACTGGGATTACAGGCATGAGCCACCGTGGTCAGCCTAGAAGGTTTCTGCAGGTTCTGTTTGTGTTTATCCCGCCTTGAAAATGGGGGTTGCAAGCCGGGTGCCGTGGCTCACGCCTATAATCCCAGCATTTTGGGAGGTCAAGGTGAGAGGATTGCCTGAGCCCACGGGTTTGAGACCAGCCTGGGCAACATGGCAAGACCTCATCTCTACAATAAGTCAAGAAAAATTAGTCAGGCATGATGGTACATGCGTGTGGTTCCAGCTACTTGGAAGGCTAAGTCAGAAGGATCGTCTGAGCCTGGCAGGTCATGGCTGCGGTGGCTATGAGTCTCCCACTGCCTTCCAGCCTGGGCGACAGAGTGAGGCTCCAATTCAAAAAAGAAAAGAAAAGAAAACAGGGGTTACAAAAGACACAAATTAGCCTGGTGCAGTGACTGACACCTGTAATCCCAGCTATTCGGGAGGCCGAGGTGGGAGGATCACTTGAGCCCAGGAGTTTGAGACCAGCCTGGGCAACATAGTGAGACCTCTTGTCTAAAATTAAAAAATTTAAGGCACATGTATGGAAGGAAATTTCTCCTTAAACCTAGAGCCTCCAACAGATCTGATGTGAGCCACATGTCTAATTTAACATTTTCTAGCAGTCACATTAACAAAGTGAAAAGAGATCAGCAAAAATATTTTATTGCTATTTTATTTAACATAATATACCCACATTATTAGCATTTCAGCATTTGGAGAATATTTTTAAATATTAATGAAGTCAGGTGCAGTAACTGAGGACTTTTAGTCCCAGCACTTTGGGAGGCCGAGGAGGGAGGATCGCTTGAGAGGAGGAGTTCAAGATCAGCCTGGGCAACAAAGCGAAACTCCATCTCTACAAAAAATTTTGAAAAATTAGCCAGGTCAGGCACAGTGACTCAAGCCTGTAATCCCAGCGCTTTGGGAAGCCGAGGCAAGAGGATTGCCTGAGTCCAGGGGTTTAAGACCAGCCTGGGCAACTTGGCGAAGGCCTCATCTCTACGATAAATCAAAAAATTAGCTGGGCGTGGTGGCGTATACCTGTATACTTGGAAGGCTGAGGCAGAAGGATCGCCTGAACACAGCAGGTTGAGGTTGCGGTGACCATGAGTGTGCCACTGCACTCCAGCCTGGGCGACAGAGTGAGACTCCAACTCAAAAAAAAAAAAAAAAATAGCCAGGTGTGGTTGTGTGAACCTGTAGTTCCAGCTACTCAGGAAACTGAGGAGGGAGGATCACTTGAGCCCAGAAGTTTGAGATTGCAGTGACCTATGATTTTACCACTATACTCTAGCCTGAGTGACAGAGTGAGACCCTGACTCTAAATAAATAAATATTTAAAATTAAATTATTAACAAAAGCATTTACATTTCTTTTTTTGTACTACATCTTTGAAGCCAAGCATGTATGATCTAGCCTCTCAATTCAGATGGGATACGTTTCAACTCCTCCAGGACTACTGTAAATATTATAGTTTTCTCCTTATGGGAAAGAAATAGTATAAGACTTGCTGACTGTGTTCAGGAAATGGGTATGTTTTGGTTGAAAATATGTGGGTAGCTGAGAGTGGTGGCTCATGCCTGTAATCCCAGCACTTTAGGAGGTGGAGGATCGCCTGAGCCCACAAGTTTGAGACCAGCCTGGGCAACATGGTGATACCTCATCTCTACAATAAATCAAAAAATTAGCCAGGTGTGGTGGTGTGCACCTGCAGTTCCAGCTACTTGGAAGTCTGAAGTAGAAGGATCGCCCAGCTCAAGGCTTGAGGCGCTGTGGCCGTGAGCATGTCACTGCACTCCAGTCTGGGCAACAGAGTGAGACTTTGACTCAAAAAAAAAAAAAAAAATGGGTAAATTTGAGATGGATTTGGAATGATTTGCAGGATCTGGTGAGGATAAGGTTCTGTTTCCTAAAGTGTTGCCAACTCCTGTCTCTCCAAGAAAGATCAATTTCATAGTGATTTGATACCAACTACTCTGTCTAATATAAATTGGGCTCAAGTGATCCTCCCCCATCACCCTCCCAAGTAGCTGAGACTACAGGCATGCACCCCCACGCCTGGCTAATTTTTAAATATTGTATGCAGACAGGATCTTGCTCTGTTGCCCGGGCTGGTCTAGAACTCCTGGCTTCAAGCCCTCCTCCTGCCTCGGTCTCCCAAAGTATTGAAATCAGAGATATGAGCCACTGCACTTGGCCCCAAGAAGCCTTTCTGGGGTCCAGATACAGGAGGACAATTAGTTGGGGATTGGAAACAAAGAGTCACTCACATGGGGTCTAGAGACAAAGGAGCACTCCCCCACCACCACCACACACACACACACACACACACACACACACACACACACACACCACCACACACACACAAACAAGACACTAGACTCACCCTCTCTGGTCCTGACCACATTTCTGACTCAGTGGTCCCACCCCACCCCTGTGGCCACAATGGGGTCAGAAGAGGGTTTGGGAAAGGAATCCCTGAGCTGGAGACAGGATTGGCTCCCTGACACCGGGAGCATTTGTGGCCTATGCTCATTGCCACCAGGATCAGACAGGAGGCTGGACCATCGTGAGAGGAGGGGCCATGGAAGTAGAGTCCAAAACATTCTGAAAACCAGGACCCTACCCTATCATCCATTCTCCAGGTGCAACAATCGAGTCTGGGATCCCTTTCAAAACTGGGTGCTAGGGATGGTAGTCTGTGGTTGCATCTCTTTGGGACTGAAAGCCAAGGCTTCTGGGCTAAGATTCCAGGGAGTTGGACCCCGAGCCACTTGGGTTTGTTTCCCTCGGGAGCTGGGGCAGGGAACTGAGAGTTTTGCCCTCCAGGGTAGGGTAGGGACTTGATGTCAGAAACAAAAGAGTCTGGCCTGGTGCAGTGGCTCACACCTGTAATCCCATCCACTGGGAGGCCAAGCAGGAGAGGATCTCTTGAAGCCAAAGTTTGAGACCAGCCTGGGCAGCATAGCCAGACCTCCCTATCTACAAAAAAATTTTTTTTCTTTTTTCAATTAGCCGTGCCGGGTGCAGTGGCTTATGCCTATAATCCCAGCATCTTGGGAGACCGAGGTGAGAGGATTGCCTGAGACCACGGGTTTGAGACCAGCCTGGGCAACTTGATGAGACCTAATTTCTATAATAAATCAAGAAAAATTAACCGGGCATGGTGGTGCGTGCCTGTAGTTTCAGGTGCTTGGAAGGCTGAGGCGGAAGGATCGCTGGAGCCCAGTAGGTCAAGGCTGTGGTGGCTGTGAGCATGCCACTGCACTCCAGCCTGGGTAACAGAGTGAGATTCCAACTCAAAA